CAAAAGTTAGAACAACTTCATTTTATTTTCAAAAATGGGTCAGAGATTGCATTTCAAGCTAATGACACTTGTGAAAAGACAAATTAAACAAGAAAAACTTGTTAAAAAGGGCGGCGTTCAATGAACGTAGCCTCACAATGTAAAATGATGAACACTATGTAAAAATGCATTTTTGGCAATGCATAGATGTCATATACATCAAACCTAAAATCATACCTTGAATTTGCTATATTTTTAAGACTATAGCAACATTTTGTAAGGTTTAATGCACCTTTCTTGAATTGCAAAATCTAGTTTAAAATCTGTTGTAATGCTTTTTTTGCAAGAAACACAAGAAAAACATGCAAAATGCAGCAATATCTCATGTCCACCAAAACACCTTCCCTCCATAATTGTGTATAAAAAGAAGTTCAAAAACGGCAATTACCATCAATGTTTTTGACTAATGGTGTAAAATGCAATCAAGTTTTAAAATTTCACTTTCATATTTGGTAACAGTGAAGTGAGTATGTCTGCAATGTATACAAATAAAAGTAAAAAAAAATATGTTTATTTATCTGGCACCAATGCCTTACACACAACTAAAGGCCATTTTTAAAGGTTTGATTTTTTACAAGTTGTTTGGTGTTTGATGCAAAAAAAAAAATCTGTCTGTGCTACAAATTTTACATGTTAGTTTATGTGTACATTGGTATATAAATCGATATACTGGTTATTAAATGTATATGATATAATTAATAGTTATAACTTTTTAGTACCATAAGTTATAATAAATATCACAACAAAGTTGGCTTATTTGCTTCCCTCTGTTTGCTACGATCCTAGATCCCGTGCTTTCCAGTCCACAATACCAGATATTGTCCTGTTATGACAAGGATAAAAGAATCCCTAGTTTATAAAAAAATAATATCCCGATGGCGATGAAAACTGATTGTCTATTTCCGAAGTTAAAATATCAATAAAAGAACGTATTTTAAGCTACATTGAACAACTTTCATCAGTTTTATGCTTTTAAAGACAGATTTCAAAATATAAGTACGACTATCTTCTTTAAAAGTGTGACTTTAAAATAGAAACGTGAGAAAAAAGTACAACACGTACCTGACTTTACAATAAAGCCTCTTACTTCGGGACTATCCACAAATAATCACATTCAAACAGTCTTGACATTATGTTTTCACAGCTGAACATCGATATTTTGATCACTAGCTATGCGTTATAAACCATTATATGCACAATTTATTACACATCCCATGCATGCGTATCAACACGTCTATATATCTTAAACCCAAGTCACACTAAAGCTTACGATTACTTGCGACTACCGGCGACGTAAAACCGACGATCATCGGCGATTGTCTGCGACCAAGCCCTTTTTGAACAGATAAATTTACTTCTGCGATTATAGTACGACCAATTATCATTGACAATCGCACGACAGGTCATCAGCAAACGTATGAAGATTGCCTGGGATTACTTACGACTACCCGTGACCTGTCATGCGATCACCTACAACTTGTCGTACGACCACCACACGATAACTAAAGACTACTCAAGATTATCAGTGATTAGTGGCAATTTGTAAAGACTGTCGTAAGATTGTCGGACTTTCGAGCGACGATCGTGCGACAGCCTAAGACCTTATAAGATCACTAGCAAACTGTTTGATCGTTGAGAGGTTTTTGTGCAAGCTCATAAACCTCTCTATGGACTGAAATTGGCCGTGGGACCTAAATAAGATAACCTGCGACTATCGAAGATCACCGATGACCGTCGTAAGACGTTTTAAAGATTTTAAAGATCACCGGTGATCGTGAACTGGTCTTTACTGGTCGTAAACTCTAATGTGACTGGGGCTTACCTTTATGAATTTTTAGGATACGAGCTAAAGATATTACATGCAACTGATTACTTGGCTATTGTTTGAAAAATATTGACCTGAGACATTTGAAAATTAAGTTAACGTAGCAAGACAACACTTGTCGAAATAGCCTGTGTCAAGGACTAAGAATTTTCAGTTTTAATTACGAGGAAAACACGAGGTTAGATAATAAGTTAATGCATAAGCTATCTTGTTATCATATTGTGGTAAAATCAGCAATTTTCAAGTGGTGTGGCTTGTGATAAAACTTTTGTAACAAATGCAACAAAAATATATTGGGAAGAATACCGTGTGTTTTCCTTCACTTTTATTTAGAAATAGGGGAAAGGCGCCGGGTTTTATACCTGTCCGCAATAGAAGTTCGTTAATTCTCAAAGAGGGGCGGGCGTCATGCATGACTTAAAATCGTTTAACTTTGTGAATGTACTTTTGTCATTTAAACATGTTACTGTGTAAACGTACTCTTGTAGTTATACAACTGGAAACATGCTTTCTTAAACTCTATTTTCTGTATTTGAGTTTTACATTTCATTCGTATATTTCAGGTACAGATAAATATCTATAAGTGTGCCTACTTGAATATGTATTGTATGAAATGGAAGATACAAGCTTGTAAATTTGTTGACGTTTGGCGGGAACCTTCAATTAAAAGATAATATTAAGAGGCATATTATGTGCCATGCATGAATACAAAAAAAAATGGTAGGCATACAAGTTCGCATTTTCAAACATAATTTTAAAAGGAACACTTTACATGTTTGGCAACGAACGCCCTCCATAATTTACTAGAAGATGACAAGGTGTAAGACTTTCAATTAGTTGTCGGTTTGAATCAAGTAAATCATTTTTATGTTTTCTTGCATAACATCTTTTTATATTAAGCCAAACTTGACCACTTTGTTCTATGCACTCGAGTCACTTATTGTACGACTTTAAAAATTGATAATAATGAAATGTAAAGATATATATTGTTTTTAATGGTAAAATTGAATAAAAAATGCTACAAATGAAACAAACACTAAACAAATAAAGCGTCGTCCGAGCTTCGAACTTGCAACTGTATGATCACAATTCCGTCCTTCTTACCAAAACGTCATCGAGCAAAGTATCGAGATCTTTACTTTTGAATAAATCATAACCCGTTACAGAAACTAACGAAAATGCTCGCGGAAATTATTGAGTTGCTTCAATTTTGCCAAACAATACTTTGTTGCAAGGTTAACCTTACCTTATATGACATTATTTTATTGGTTTTGATATTAGCAAAACTATAAATGTATATTGATTGATTGACTGTTGCAAAAGATCTATAATTATTTAATCATGTCATTACATTGATTTCTGTCGATAAACTGCATATCGACAGCTTGGTGCGAAAGGGTTGTAACTCCTTCTTTATCTAATATGAGTTAAAACCCTTTCGCACCAAGCTCTCGATTTCTGCATTACCAGTCACCTCATCAATACAAATTGAAATGAAATTAATTGAACGAAATATTTTCCCTATTATTACCACTAGTTTTAAAATATTAATCTGATAAACCAATCGCATCTTTTCGGCCCTTTCCGTCAAACTTCGGAAATGAACTTATTGTATGCGGTTTGGTTTACAATTCATGTGTGTAAAGCTGATAACGAAAGACTTAGTTTAGAACAGGAACAGGTAAATGATTAAACAACTCTAGTATGTGATTATCTATTGAAACTCACACGAGTTTAAAAACTGCATATCTATTACAAAACAAATACGTTATAAAAGACCACAATGACCGAAAATAAAATGTTTCTTCCTTGACGTGTTTAAGTGTTGTCATACCAAGAAAACTGTACTTATTCTCAAATAATCAGTCAATTTTAATCTAGATGGTTTATAAAATAAACAAAATACATGAAGATAACAAGAAACCTCAATTAACTCGGGGGGGGGGGGAGAAAGTTTATGCATGACATATCTACAGTAGAGTATTTTTTTACAATTTAGTCCCATCTTATTATTTATTTTGCACGAACTTATATAACAAACAATACCCATTGTAAAGATGGATATACTTATCAGAATTACATATGAATATGTTTTGTTTATAAAGACAAGGACTTTTCATGGATTTAACCCAATCTCTTTTATAATACTTGGGTAAATCTATTCACTATTGGACAATTTTTGCAGGCGTTGGTTTGTGGCACACATTTTTTTTATGAGGCGGTTCATTTCACCCTGTAAAGCTTGTATCAGATATCCGTATAGCTCCTATTGCTTCTTGTCTAGAGATTTTGGTAATGTTCCCTTACGTTGATGTTGTAATAAATGTTCAGGAAGAGTGTTAGCGATCTGGCCGTGTGTACGTAAGAAATCGTGTATCAACTGCAATCATATGTACAGTTGTTCTTTAGATATTGATAAAACTGTTGGTTAAAATAAGCGCTAAGATTACCGTTAGTGAACACATTGTTAGTGACAACAGTCTTCCTGAACTCCACTGTGGAGTGCAACAAGTCATTTGCAAGCAACCAGCGATTAAAATATATCTCAAAAATGAATTACAACGATAAATCAAAATAGCATGTTGTCATCGATTTTAAATTGATTCTCTTTAGACCGGGCGGTCAAGGATAATCTACGAAAGTACAAGCACTTGTTTCCATTAGGATCCTTACCTCAGCAGACTATAGAGACAGCTTTTAGATACAAGGGAATCCGCGAACCAGTCCCTAGCTAAGCATGAAGTTCAACCTAAGCACACGTTGATTTAAAATAGAGATCACAGATGCATTTATTTCCCGACATTTACTTTTTACGGACAATCACATTTACGGGACATGTGTGTTAAATTTGTGTTTGTTATGAAATTAGATATATTGAAAATATACACCATGTCTTTAAACTGCATATATTTCAAGTTATTGACACACATTATTCCTGCTAACTTATAAGATTTGTTAAGTGTACACACCACACTTATTGTCGCTCCGTCGGCATATGGGAACACTCCGAAAATTTTGCGTCATTAGGTACCGGACGGATGACCAGGTGTATTATAATCTATATCAAAAATAAATAGTCCAAAAAGCTAAATGTATAGGAATCAATGATCCCGAAGAAACAGAAAAACAAAAGAAACAAATAGCAGATGATTTATTAGTTCAGAAAGGTATATTTTATTTACAATCGTGCAATACAGTGTAATATTTGATGGTTATATACAGTGCTCTATGTTTTGCAGCTTAAAAAAAGAAGAACACGTTTTTATTCACACAGTACGTTACTGATTTCGATACTATGTTCGCCTTGCATAAAATGATAGTAATGGAGGGCCTTTACCACCAGCCATTTTATTATCAAGCATGTTTGTTAAGCAATGCAGTTATAATACAATATTTAGTTACATGTATGCTATACAGATGTTGAGATATTTTTTAAAAGTATTTCTCAGTTGAGTATAGTGTAAATATTTTAACAACAGCAGTTTTTAACTTTAAATTATTTGGTCTGTGCTTGAAATATTGTATTTCATTATATGTTTCATGTATCTCTTAACGATGTCTTTGAATATATTGAACACGAACACCAATTAATATATTATGTTGTATGACAGAAGTAAATTTGAAAATATGTATGAACTTGTTTATTCTAAATTTACACCAAAGTTCACATATTAACACGATTAGCTAGTAGATTAGTTTTAGAATAGAGAAGATAAAGCTTGTCAATGTCAAAACATGCGCTTGCTAGAGCTAAGGTCATAAAACTAGCTTTAATTTAATTGTGTGTTCCATCGCCTTATGACCCAATCTGTATTGATGCGCCGTAATACCTAAGTAGACAAAACACTTAAAAAAGAACACATCAAATGCAAACAACGGTCTTAAAAAACATCAAAGGGGTATCAATTAATTTCAACATAGGTAAATTCTTTCGTATACGAAACTTCGAGAACTTGAAAAGTTTATACCCGCATAACTATATATATTGTTATGTGAATTTTAGATTTTTACTCCCGGAATTTCATTGTCCGTGAAATTATCACTGTACGCTGGAAAGTTTACGTACCTTAACTTGGAAACATACATGAAAAGTACTTAGACACGAAGATCAATCGAGATCATGTTTAGTTTAATTGTCTGATTATTTCACATAAAAACTTATTTTCCCTGTTACAATATGCATCGTGCCATCGCCACAATCTTGATATCGCTCCAAAATAGAAAACCTTGCACAGTTCACCAGAATTTAAGTTAGGTTCGTTCTGCCTTTCATCCCAATAGGTGAAGGAAGGATTTGTAGGTTGAACATTGTGTCTCCATTCATGACTGCCTTCAGACCGGATACCATCTATCCATATGCCTCCACAGTCTATCGAATGATTGTGCAGTAATTTTTCTATATATTTAGCCTTTTGCTCAGAGTCGATATTAACAAGATGCCCACCGTCACGACGACAAGTATTCTCCGCATCACTTCGATTCATTAGATTTACGTAGATCTTCAGGCAAATCCAATTATATGTGTAATTATACATTTGGTACTGGTTTGGACAAATTTGCTCGCAAATTGTAGACTCAAACTGTACATCAATAGAGGAACTTCCATAACACGTATCGGTATTGCCACCGCATGTTCTGTTTCGTTTTTGGATTCCAAACCGCCCGCCATACATACTTGTTTCACATTGTGACCATTCAGTCCAATCATTGCATCTACTCAAACGACACAATTTGTCAGTTATCTTGGAATTCTCATCTTTCAAGGTACGATATTTGTTTTCAATGTTGACAATTACTATTCCTAGCACACAATAAACAACTATCATCACTATCACCAAAAGTGTGATAAGTAACACTGTACGATTCATTTTTTTGATGGCGGATATATGATCAGTGCTCATCCTATTGAATGAAGTTGAATGTTCTTTAACCTACAAATAATCAAGTAAAGAGTAGGTAAAGAAAATGCGAGGAGTTTCACATAACAATTAAAGTGAAATGAACTTGGCTATACAATCTTTTTCCACCTTGTTTGATATGTCGTTAAATGGTTTGTGTTTGCTTTTCAGAAATAAAAAAATGCATCAAGCATCTGAACATTGATTTTATTGAATCTTTACAAATAATTGATGAAAATGAGTTTTTTTCTTATCAAATCAGTTCATTACTTACTCTAAAGATAAGTATAATTATGTTAATTTATTAATATATAATTTTCTTCTTTGAATAAGGTATAAATTAAATAAATACATTTTTTCAGTATTAAGTTATGTTTGCAAATAGGTTGATATCTAAAACTAATATTTGAATTATTCTTTCATTTTGAGGATATATCTCAGTGAAAACCAGTCGTTTAATAAAAGCTGTAACAATGAGCATAATTCATTATCGTTACTCAGAATATTGATGATATTAACGGGAAAATTGTAAATTACAACATACATTAACTCATAAATTTATAAAACAATAATGATTTTTTTAATTGTAAACGAAATGCAACTGTTTTTATAAGATAGTGCCCTTACCTTGTAGGCCTGTATTCCAAACTTGTTATCCAGCCCTCACAACTAATGAAACTGAACACAAACTTATTTCAATTACGTGAAAGCGGCTGACTTATAACTACACTTGAACTTTGAGTCGGCCACGATTGCGTTTTAATCCATATACATAGTTCAGACGGAAAATGATATGCTGGTAATTCTACTTGTAATTCTACTTTATACATATACTGTTGTACCATACAGTGAAAACCGTATGGGTTACTCCTTCAGAATCCGATAATTACCGACAAATAATTAACGATCATCGAATATTTGCAAAGTGACTATGAAAATATATATGTTAAATTATTGCATGAAACAATGCAATTCTACTGTAAAAGTGTTGTCCATCATTATCATGCGCTATCGAAAAAAAAATATAATTTAGTTGAAATCTCTTCGTTGCATGTGATGTAAATAACGTTTAACTGCCATTCAGTGCGATAAACTATCAACACAAAGATAGTTTATTATTTTTGTCTATGTATCTAATACGATTCCGAACCCCTACCGTCATACCGTTTTTGAAACCTGCGAGACGGAAACCGACGGAATATAATGAAATCAACGATTATCATTATATATTTCATAAGCATAAGAATATTTTGTGATGTTCAACCAAATTTAAACTATTGAACGTTCTTGTCAAAGGTTTGACAGAAAAGGCTCAGTTTTACCCTTTACCAAAACAAGAGGGCCATCATGGCCCTAAATCGCTCACCTGGCTCATCGAACTCATCCAAGCAATTACCTAGACAAGCATTCTGATCAAGTTTCATGGCAGGCGAGTCAAAAATGTGACCACTAGATTGTTAACAAGGATTTTCCATATTTGAGCAATGTGGCCTAGTTTTTGACCCAATGTGACCCATGTTCGAACTTATGCAAGCAATAACCTAGACAAGTATCCTGACCAAGTTTTATGATAATTGAGTAAAAAAAATGTGACCACTAGAGTGTTAACAAGGTTTTCTATTTTTAGCTCCTGTGACCTAGTTTTTTATCCGAGATGACACATGTTCGAACTCATCCGAGCATTTACATGACAAGCATCCTGACAAAGTTTGATGATGATTGAGTCAAATATGTGACCGCTAGATTGTTAAAAATGTAGGTTTTTTCTATCTTTAGCTCCTATAAATAGCAAAAAATAAATAATCTAATTGCCTCACCTGTAATTTGCGATATAATAACATTTTCAGGTATGCAGCATTCAATTTTAGCTTCTAAATCAGTGAAATCTTATTCTATTTATTTAATAATTATAAAAGTCTTTAAATGTGCACATGAACAATCTCTTGAGAATGTTGTAAGAAAATTTATATTCAAAACGAAGTGCATTGCGTATATTTAAAAAGTTTACCACCATCCGTATTTGGCGGACCAATTCATGAATATAAGAAAAAATAACGTCGAACTTTTGCTTAAAATTTTGTCAAATTTTGGTCGATTTCAATGACATTAGTCAAAATGCACATCTATGTATTAATTAAGGAACTGTATAATTAGATTTTAAATCTAACATCAAATTCGGTTTCGTTTTGTTAGTATTTAAATGCACGTCTATGTATTGATTCAGAAATTTAATAATAGGATTTGAAATCCAACACTAAATAAGGCTGCTTTTTAAAGAAATCTAACCCCTGCCCTGCTTTGCATAATATCAATTTCTAATTTCAGATGTGTGCGCCAACTTTTTGCCCCTTAATTTCGTTATCTTCTCTCGATTTTTACATAAATGAAAATGTATTGTTCGTTATGACACTGTTGTCACATTAAAATATGAAATTTTATTTTAAAACAAGACTTTAAATGGCAAAAAAATAAAATCTTACCACCTCACCTGTAATTTGCAGGTGTAATTACATTTTCAGGAACGCAACTTCCAAATTTAGCTTCTAAATCTGTAAAATCTGATTCTATTTATTAAATATTAGACTTTAAATGTACACATGGACAATCTCTTGAGAATGTTGTAAGAAAATTAATATTCAAAAAGATGTGCATTGCGTATCATTAAATTATGAAAATATAACGTCTAACTTTTACTTCCATATTTGACAGTCTTTGGCCGATTTTAATGACATAAGTCTCAATATGCACGTTTGTGTATTGTTTAAGGATTATTATAATAGCTTCTTAATTAGTCCAATCTTAATCAATCCATTTCATATTAGTTTTGAAATTTGCACATGAATAATCTCTAGTGAATGTTTTAAGAAAATAATCTTTGACACGATATGCAGTTCCTGTTTTTACAAAATTTACCAACTATCCACCACTTCATAAAATGAACCAATGCATAAACTCAAGATGACTTGTCTGTTCATAGAGGCAGGGCCTCTTTTGGCAGACAGAAACTCACGAGGACTTTGTCTGTTCGTGAAAGCAGTGACTCTTATAACAGACAGAAACTCACAATGACTTTGTCTGTTCGTGTAGGCAGGGCCTCCTTTAACAGATAGAAACTCAAGATGACTGTGTCTGTTCGTGTAAACAGGGCCCTCTGTAACAGAAAGGAATTCAAGATGACCTTGCCTATTCATGTCAAGATGAATGTCTGTTCGTGTAGACAGGACCTACTTTGACAGACAGAAACTCAAGAAGAAGTATCCTTTAAATTTAATACATTTTGTTGGAAACGACATGGGCAACATTCAAAAAATTGTCTCAACAAACATTTTTAATTTTCGAGAAAAACAGTTCTTCTGCCTTACAGCTTGAAATTTCTCATCCGGTAATAAATGTAAACGGCCCTTTTAAGTGCCAAAATGATTACTGAAGAAATATTTTTTCAATATTGAGGTATCCAATTGAGTTACAACGCTCTGTCAATTTCTGTATTTAGTAAATTTACACACATGATTCTATATATGAACGACAAGAAAGTTAAATATAAACTGAAATAATGTTTTAAAACTTTACATGACTTTTTTTGTGTGTCCTGATTTGCTTGACCTACCACACATAAAATTAAGTTAACATGATATGTAATAAATTGTATTTGATCACTGCATTGATCACTTATAAATATCATAAAAATGTATGCCTGTATATAATAATAGCCATTTGGGATAAAAAAAAATCTATGTTAATTGAGAAAAAATGCAAATCATGAAGGTGTAGATGTGTAAATAAGGGCCCCTTTTTAAGCGTGTGAACATATTTTAGTATGCATTCGGTTCTTAGGGGTTTCAACAGTTCGCACAAGGTGAGTAATCAGTGCTAGAAGATGAATTTTATCGAAGTCTATAAGATATCTTAATTGTAACTATTCTAATTAAAGCTCAATGGGAATGAAAGGTATTAAAATAATACATGGTTCATATTGGTTCTCAGTAATTCGCACTATTGAGTAGTGTTCGAAATTGAATTTCATTATTATTTATGTGACATTTCAATGGTTTTGGGCTTGTCGGGCCTGATATTATTTTTTTATCATACATGTTTATATAGACATGGATACCTGATAAAGAATGACATTACTTACGAGTAAAAATTTGATCCAGAAGAGTCTTAACAGGTCGTACTCATGAACAAAAAATTGTTTTAACCTGAATTTCATCATCATTTCATGCGATATGTCAATGGCTTTGTTTTGGACGGGTTAAAGCCCCATGGTATAAATCAATTTTATACATGGTTGTGTAGTTATGGGTCCTTGGTAGCGAATTAAATATGAATCGCTAAAAATTATTTTAAGTCCAGTCATTTCCAAAATCTCATTGGAGTGTCTTTGGAGTAACTTTATAAAATTAAGTTTTATTACCCTAAAATCAGATTGAGATAGCATTGCATGGTGTGAAAAACACAAATGACCCCTTATCACAAAAAAGAAAGGATATATTATGCCCAAATTTGATATTTGCAAATACTGATTATTTTATACAGTTTCTTTTAAAATGTTAAAAAAGGTCTTTCGACTACACACAGAGAGGATATATTCTGTTTTAAACAAAACGCAATAGGTAATCATTGTATGAATAAACATTAAAAGATCAGGCAGTTTATTTTTGAAAAGACCCAGTTTTTCACACATATTTTGTGCATTCTTTTACTCTTGACATGTTAACTATAAACAACTTTCTACATTTTAATGAATTTCTGCAACAAAAGTATTTACATAAAGATTAGCAAAGAGTAACATTAATGAATAAAAATATGAAAAATTATGATTTTGATTGGATGATTACCTAAAAGTTCATTGGCCGTAACAGAATCATCATGTAATAAAGTTGGGCGGGGTTTGACTATTGCAGTTATGATTTTCAATTACCAATAAATAAAGGAATTACGGCTAATAAATTGATTGGATTGAAACGAGTTGAAAACGAGGCTCCGGTCGAATATGGCGGTTTTTTTAAATTTGTTAAGTAAATATCGGAAAACAAATTGAATATTGATATCTATAGTGAAAATTTGGTGGATTTATTTGTCTTTAAAGTAAAAAGTGTGTTTTATCATTCATTGTTTGGACAAATCTGTATTTAAACAATGTCGGAGAAAAATTCTACATGTATCACAAACAAACCGAAAGGAGCAGTGGGTGGAGTAACCATCAAGAATGCTACTTCTGTGAACAATGACTTTGCCATCTCTAACTTGATAAATGATGGGGCCGACGCATGTAACCAACAACTAAACCAACAACGAACACCAATTCCTCAAAACTCTCAGCAGACCAGATCATGTGTGACACACTCTCCACAAGGTATTCGTCCATTATTCCAACCTTATCCCCCTGGCTTTTTGCCGCATGATCCCAACACGTCTTTATTGATAGACATGTTACGTAAAATGGACAAAGACTCTTTGCCATAGAACAAGCCTCAAATACTAGCATGCAAAAATTGAGCTCAATTGAACTGTTGAAAGCAGTGTCGCTCAAGTCCAAAACCAGCTTACAAATTGAAAACAAAGACATCAAAAAAAGACTTTTGGAAGTTGAAACATCCTGTCAATCCATGAGTGATACGCATGATGATTTACATACTCACAAGCAGGCATTTTCTAAATTTATGCGAGATACAGAGAACACAAACAAAAATTTGAGTTCTGATGTCGAGGTTCTGACAGTCAATAATTATGCACTTAAAACTATGTCCATTGATCTCCGGAGTCAGTTAAATGAATTCCG